AAATTATATATTTATTACATAAAATTCTTTAATTAAATACTATTATTAAAAATCCCAGATCTCATTCTAGCTGATCATGTCATGAACACACTGTTACCTTCCTTTAGATTCATTTATAATCATAATTTAATGCTTGATGTATTATATAGATTTGATTATATTATACTCTCTCATCCGTTATTCTTAATAAACTTTATTATAATTACCCTGGCCAAGTAACTTATTATAACATTATTAAACACTCACCAGCTCTTTCAAGGACTCATATAAAATGATAACAATATCATTGAAATGATTTAATAAACTGAATTCATAATATTTTATTTGTCTATAAACTATCATCGTAATTATTACAGTATATACATATCAAATTATAAGAAGATTTCTTAAGTCACTTTCTAGTTGACTTAAAACACAAGTTGAGCATGTAAAAAGATATAGTATTTTGTAAATCCAAGTAAAATGGTGACAATATATATGGAATTTCATAAGATTTAAATAAATTTTTATGAAATTATACCTAAAAAACTGAATTCCAAATACATCTGTAATACTTTCTACTATAGTGTTCCTCAAATTTGGTAATTGGTTGGTCTCATATGAATTACAAATTGATATTATAGTTATCCCGTGATTTTTAAAACATTCCAACGTTACATAAATTATATTCATTTTCTAATTGATTATCAATATTTTACATTTTCAACATTTTTCCGCTCCATGTGTATTCTTATGATCGATATCGGTTTTGTTGCGCTCTACCACGCACGCTATTTCCCAATACATTATTAAAATTATTTCTTCCTCGTCCGCTACCACCACTACCTTTTTGATATGTAGTGCGTTTTTCGGTGTTTTGGTGTTGCTGGTTAGATTGGCCTTTATGGGAAAATAGAAAAAGTAAATTAATATAAAGGTTTAGGCATAAAGAAATACATATAAGCTGATAAATTAAATACTATCATTTGTTACCTTTTTGCCTTTGCTGATCTTTTTGATTTTGCCCAGTTTGCTGTTGTTTCTGTTCCAACAAACGTTCATTATTTTCAACAAAAGTCACAGCCTTTTCGGCAAACATCAACGCCAACTGTTGTACTTTGGTGGGCTCGACACGATGTAATACAACAGCATTGTTCACTTGATCCAAAGACGCGGCTAATTCTTCATTCCATATCATTTTAGAGATTATCGAAGTGACCGCGTTAATTGGTAGACCAAACATTGTACCGAGTTGTTCGAGTCCAAGAGTTGTGTAATATGCTGAATATGTGAATAGGTAGGTACGAAGACCTTCTTCTTGGATTTTGCGATTTAGCATCTCTTTGATTTTCTGAGTTTCTGGCATTAGATCCCATATTTTTATTGCTCCTATTAGTTCTTGACATTTTTGCCATTCGCCGCCAGCCAGAGCTTTTGCAGCTCCCATTATATGGTCTCTTGTATTTTCAGGTGGGCCTGAAATTATTGAGTGTATAAGAACTCGTTATGTTTGTACTCCTGTCCACTACGGAATGGATAAAAAACGTACCGCTAAATACTTGTCTCTCATTGTAATCCAACATTCTTCTAAATGGTTTACTGATAACTTTTTTGCGAGCCTCTGGATTAGAACCAGCAGCAGCCATGCTGGGTATTTCCAATAGCATCGAACAAGTCAGATATGCACATTCCAACAATTCCAGATTAATATGCATATGAAATGGTAATTGACGCTGTCGATCTAACTTCTCTTGTTCGGGTGGAAGTTGAGAATATCGTTGCAATTGTAAACCCTATAATTTTATAGAATAACAGTAAGGAAATACACAATACTATAAAGAAAATAAAAATATAAAATAAAAATTAACATACCTGAGCCAACAATTCTTTCATTCGCCCAGTTCCACATATCTCTTGCAAACAGCTCTGAGCTTCTTTGATCATACCCTCACGAAATGCGCAAAGACCAACTTGTACCATAGTTCGATTGTGCAGAATTTGAGTTGCCACATCCGCTTGGTGAATTGTCTCTTGTAAATGAGACATTAGCAACATATCTCTTGCCACGTAAAAGCGATTGTGCAAAGCATGATGATAAATGTGACATAACATTGCACGTGTACGTAAAAGTGATGCGCCTTTCTTATACAAATATACGCAGAGTGCATGTATTAGGTCTGAGGAGTCTTGAGTTATGGTTGGAGGTGTAATTTCTGAACTTAAACCAGATGGAAGCAATTGCCTGACTGTATTTTCTACTGTTTGTATAACTTGATCCGGCTTAGGAAACAGGGCAATAATTAATTAAGGAATATATATGCAAAAAGTGAATTAGATCAGCATGCATTTAAGTACCTTGTAATATAAATGTTCCAACCTTCTCATAATAACTCGACTTGTACTATCATTTAATTCATTTTTCTCGAAATAAATTTGACCACGAACAATCGTCGCATATAATTCAGTTTCATCTTTCAATCTATCTACATAGTCAGTAGTATGTGGATCAATATTTTGAAGTGATTTCGTGAATTCATCATCCAATCGATCTATAAAAGAAACGATCGAACCACGAATTCCATAAACTTGACCAGCTTCAATTGTTGGCTCTTTTTCCTCTTGTTCATCTTCAACATCTTCATGGATAATAAATTCCTTGTTATCTTCAAGAATCGCTAAAAGTTGATTAATTTCTTTTTGGGTGCTAATTAAAACAAAAATATGAAATTAACATATTAAACTCTTTAAATAATTGATTGACCAAAAGCTTAGTAAAATACAAACTTTTTCCACATTTCGGTGCCCATATAACCACTCATACTTTGGTTATAGTCAAATTGAGCTGGAATTAAAGCGAGCAATACACGGATTTGTTGATATGGTGTATTTGCCACTACCAATAAAGCATGTAAAACTTTGATTTGATCCAGACGATCGGTATTCTTAATAAATGAGAAAAATAGATATAAATAATAAGAATTACATAAATCTAAAATCAAAATGAAAAAAATTCAATAATAACCTTTTTGCCTCTTGCCTCTAAGACCTCTTTTAATTTTTTAAATAAATTCTCTGCTGTATATTCAACGGGTTTGCCACCTTTTCCGACTGGTGTGAATGTTTCGTCTGTTACTTCTGTCTCAATATTCTTTTTGCGGGGTTCAATTTCTTGTTCAATTATATCATCATCTTCCTTATCTTCTTCAGAAACAGGATTCTTTAGGAGAAAAAGCAATTGATTATTTATTATGCTTCAGATTTAATAATTAATTGGAATAATATTATTCAATACTTCATTAAACATACCTCTCGCCATTTTTCTATGTCTTCTTCATAAATTTTATTATTCTTTTTCAACCTTTGCTTCATCGCATTTAGAGCTTTCGCATTTGATGGATTCATCTTTTTCTTCGCATCTTTTTGCAAAGACTCATTTAGGAAATCCTCAAGCTCAGCAATAGCTTTAATATAAAGACGCGGAATTCCATTCTGCGGAGAAATTTTCGATACGATTTTATTGAGTTTATCAAATTCTAAAAATTTGCCGCAATAAAGTATGGATTGATAATTAGCAGCTAATTTTGATAAAATCATCTTAAAGGAAGACAAATGTGTTAAAATACCATTAGAAATAACAACCCAATCATTAATTTTTTGGGCATTCTCCAAAGTTTTTATTGTCGCCTCTAACTCTTCAAGACGCTTATCCTTTCCAGACTTTACAACTCGTTTATCACCATCTGATTCTGAAGAATCATCAGATGCAGGAGCAGCCCCTCCCATTTTTAATTTGAAACGAGATTCTGTCGATTTAGTGGGTTTCTTGTCATCTTCTTGAAGATCATCTGAATCTTCTGAAAGTTCTTCATCATCGGAAAGATCTGAATCTGATGCTAGAGATCCTTGCGATTCACTTTCTGAATCTGAACTGCCATGAAAGAAGCGAGACATTTTTATTTCTTTTCTCTTCTTTTGGATTAAATAATGAAATTTAATAGAGTAGATCTCGTTATGAATTAATTTCTTTTCTGGTAGATTAAATAAAAAAGAATTATCCTATTTATCTCAATCAGATCAATGAATCTAAGGTAAATAGAAAAATTTTAAGCTGAAACTTCAAAGTTACAAATTGATCAATATTACTTAAAATATTGTCTCAAATTAAATTACGCAATATAACACTTGTTTTTGTTCTATCGAAAGTTTTGTATAATGAATTTGATGTTTGCCCTTTGGATAACTAGCTCACCTTAACTTTCCAAAGACAAAACAAAGATCACACGCAAAATACGCGCGAACGGAAGAAAGTGAAACCTTTTTTTTTTCAAATATGTAATCTTTTTGGGATCGATTGATTATTTTTCCAAATTGGGTACAAGTTACTTGTGACACACGGAATCATGTTACAAGTGAAAATCGAAAGAATGAAATAAATTTCGATTTATATGCTTCATTCAATCATGGTTGTCTTTTTATACATTTACGCTTAGAAATAGAAAATACGTTTATACGAAGTTTTCCTTCTTAAATATTAAATAGTTGTTTTTGTCTCTGCTATCACTCTGGCATACTGTTGAGTAGTGAGTGATTTCTCGTTTATGTGAAGAATGTTAAAGGGTAAGTAATTTGAGTTAATGTCTATTTTAGCAGATTTTGGTTAACTGCGTTTTACAGATATATATATCGTTCTTCTTTTTTTGTTATAGTAAGAAATCAAAAATAGTCACTCTGGAGTTACCTCATTAGCTCATTATATTATATGCCTTATAATTTCTCTAGCCTAGAATAATCCGTAGAATATTTTTGGCTTTCATATCCCTCTTAATATTAGTAAAACTATACCAATTTAAATTTGGGACAATTGATGAATTAGATAAAGGAGAATGGACGCGCCGTCAGCATGCTATACGTAATGCTTTCAAACATGCTTGGAATGGATACGTGCGTGATGCGTGGGGCTACGACGAATATCATCCGATTTCACGAAGTGGCACAAATCTATCGAATCATGGTAGCATTGGATATACGATAATTGATTCGTTAGACACGATGATTATTATGAATTTGCACGAAGAATATATACAAGCAAGAGATTGGGTTGCCAATAAGCTTGATTTTAATATAGATGCCGATGTATCACTTTTTGAAACCACTATACGAGTATTAGGTGGTTTGCTGAGTGCATATCATTTATCGGGCAATGATACTTTGTATTTGACAAAAGCTAAAGATCTTGGTGACAGATTGTTTGGTGCTTTCGATTCCCCGACATATATTCCTTTTGCATCTGTAAATCTTGCATCACAAAAGGGAAAACCGGCACATTTTGCTGGAGGGGCTAGTTCAACTTCGGAAGCTGGGACTTTACAATTAGAATTTAAATATCTAAGCTATTTAACTGACGATGATAAATATTGGCGAACTGTGGAAGAAGTAATGTTTCATATAGATGATTTGGATAAATTTGATGGTCTCGTGCCTATTTTTATAAGGTGCCTTTTTTTCCATTTATAATAATAAAAATAATTAGTCTTTAAAATAATAATTATCTTGATTTCGTTCGCGTTTTATATATATAGTCCATCTACTGGTGATTTTATGGGACAGCAGATTACATTGGGTGCTCGTGGAGATAGCTATTATGGTATAAACATACAGACAAAACAATTATGATTAGACTATTATTAATCAAGACGATAAATCAATTTTGCAGAATATCTTTTGAAGCAATATATACAAACCGCTCGTACTGAACCTTTCTATCGTCGCATGTACGCTCAAGCCATGCAAGGAGTGAAAAATCGACTTATAGCTCATTCTTTTCCAAACAAATTATTATACGTTGGTGAACTTGCACACCATGCTAGCACTGATATTTTTCCAAAAATGGATCATCTCGTTTGTTTTCTTGGTGGAACATTGGCTCTTGGTGCTACAGGTGGTGTGAAGATTAAGGATTACTCGGAATTAAGCGTTGAAGCACAAGAAGACTTATCGATTGCAAAGAGGTTGACAGAAACGTGTGTACAAATGTATTTCAGAACAGCTACTGGCCTAGCACCGGAAATTACGTTTTTTGAAACAAATGTAAATGGAGTAGATGATATGATAATTAAAGATAGAGATGCGCATAATTTATTAAGACCAGAAACTGTCGAAAGTCTGTTCGTGCTTTGGCGTATCACTGATGATAACAAATATAGGTGATTATTCATTTTAGTGGATTTTTTTTGTTTTTACTAAATTTTTTATTTTCTCTGTGTATATAGAGAATGGGGATGGAGGATTTTCAAAGCATTCGAAAAATACGCAAAAGTTGATGGAGGAGGATACAGCGCGCTTAATGACGTGACTACAATACCTCCAGGTAGACTTGATAAAATGGAAACGTTTTGGCTGGTTAGTAATAGATAAAATCTTCTTACATTATCATTGTTATTAGTATTGTTTGTTAATATCATTTTGCTAATAACCAATTTTGTTTTGTTAGGCGGAAACTTTAAAATATCTTTTTCTTCTCTTTGAAGATCCCGATTCGCAATCTTTACCCCTCGATAAATACGTATTTAATACTGAAGCACATCCTCTTCCCATTTTTAAGCCTTCTAAAAAAATTCGTGGAAATGGATGGGATCGTAGTTAGAACTGATTATTATAATTTAATATTTATTTCTACTGAATGGTCATTTTGTAAGACCTAGCAGATTCACTTGATAGTCGCAATTTCATCGATTAGCATAGATAAGCTGTATAGACTATAGTAGATTTGGAATTATATTTTAAAATTTTGTTTTAATAACGATAAAAGAAACGCGCGAAAATGGATGATTTAAATGATTTGATTTGGAGTAGTTCAAGCAGTAAACCCGCTACTACGCGTTTACAAAGCGCCACGTCGTTAAACAGTTTACGAAGTAGTAATAATGTCTCAGCTTCATCTGGACTTCGAGCGTCAACTTCTACAACTGTCACAAGTAATAATAATGGACAAAATCTTTTTCGAGCACAAGCTTTAAATGCAAATTCACCTGTATTTAAGAGATTCAATAATAATAATAATGATAATATGGCCTCAGGAGAATCAAATTATTCCTCATTACTCTCTTCAAGTCCTCCTCTTACATCGTTTATTCCCTTGCAACCAACTAAACCTTCTAATTCAAGCAATAATACTACTAATAACAAGAACAAAGTTTCTTCGCAAATGAACAATAATAATAGGAATTTGTTTGATAACCTGGTGTCTTTTAACGATAGTAAATCAACCTCGAATATTAATAATGCGTCTAATAGTCTCTCATTAAACGAGCAGCGTAGACTACAAGAGCAAGAACAAAAAAGAAAACAAGAACAACAACAAGCTGGGCAAAACATTTTTTGGAAAAAATACGAGTCCACTGGTACTAACATTGGTAGGAGAAATACCAATCATCAGAGCGTAAACATACAAAAAGATGATTCATTCGGAAAGCCAAGATCTGTTCAAACATCAACACCAGTAGCTAGTTTAATAGAAATAACGAAAAAGACTGAAAGTCAAAAGCATGGAGATGCCTTGTTTGGAGATATATTAGATTCTAGCAGTAAAAATGAGATCCCGAAAAATCATTCATTGAACCAGTTGTAAATATTTATCAATAAATTATTTTTGTTATTTGCATTAAATTTCGATAGCTCATGAGAATTGATTGCATTAGGAGATCACAGTCTTCAACGTCTCAAAGCTCTCTATCCACGACAGAGCACCATTGGGATTTGGATTTTTTATCTGGGAAAGCGATTCAATCATCACCGGTATTTGAATTGCAAAAAATTACAGATAATAGTTGTATTGATTAATAGATCTTTAAAATCTCGGCTTAACTCAACTCTTTATAGTCTTCATTTAAACCCATCGATAATTTGTTGGATTTGGGCATTGACGAAAATATACCAATTTCCGCAGCGTTATCTACAGTTAATGTAATTGACGACGAAGCTCATCCTCTTGGGATTTTGGCCGAACCTATTAATCGAAAAGATTCTGATAATTCATCACCTCCAAAATCCTCGGTAAGACATGATAAATTCTTGGGAAAAAATTCTGATGATAAATTGATGATTTCAATTGAAATTTTACTAGGAAAAAGCTATTACGAACCAATCTCAAGAAAATTTAATTAGTTCAACGGGGTCTCGTCCATTAAGTTCCAATAATAAAGATTCTTCAAAAGATCATTTAATCGCGCAAATTGTGGATATGGGATTTACAGTTAATCAAGCAGAAACAGCACTGGTTGCAACAGATAGCGGACTGGATTTAGAGGCTGCTATCGAAATATTAATTCATCAAAAAGAAGCGGAGGAACAAGTATTTGATGATCGTAAAAATACAAAACGATCCTCTATTGTCTCGAGTCGACGTCGAGCAAATACAGCAGATTATCGACTGCATGAAGATGGAGATAGTAGCGAAGGAGGAGGGTATATTGCAAATAGGCATCAGTTGCCGAAAAATAAGAATCTCCAAATCCCCAAATCTCGAACATACGGTAAAAGTAGCTCTGATGGTGAAGGGAGTAGTGATCGTTCGACTTCATCCGTTTCTTCTTTTGCTGGTCAGGGTTTTCATCAGCAAAAGGAAAAACTTATATCTTCTGCGAGTGAGTTAGGATTAAATGCATTTAAAAAAGCAAGTGCAATATATAAACAATCAAGGGAAAAAGTTAAAGAGGCTTTGGAAGATTTCCAACAAACGCCACCAGCTTCTGACGGGAGACCGAAATGGTTACAGAACACTGATCTAATTGAGTCTGATGACGATGATAGTGATAAAAATGAGAATCCCATATCTTTTTCGAATTTTAAAAAATTTCAGGATGTTTATGAAGATTCTAGCAGCGAAGAAGATAAAAAAAAACCGCCTTTAATTCCTAATACTAGGCCTGGAATTCCATCATCAAAATTAACTGAGATTGATGATTCATATGAAAAGAGTCATAAAGTTAATTCTTTATCCAAAAAATTTTCAAAACCTGATCCACCGTCACGTTCCACAAAACCAATTACAACAGATTTACACGATTCAACTTATGCTCGACATCAACAACTTGCTTCTCAAAAATCTAAAATATTAATTAATACATCAGAAGCAACTTATGTGTCGCCTGCACGACGTCTTCCTCCGACTCCTGCAAAGGTCCCTCGAATTCATGCTCCATCATCTGCACCACCGCCATCAAAGTCTCCAAGGCCAGTAATATATGCAACACCGGAAAGTATGCGTACTTCTGAAATTCATCGAGCAAAAGGCAATGAATTATTTAAACTTGGTCAATTTGGAGAAGCGGAAAAATATTATTCATTATCTATTGATTCTCTCCCATCTAAACATCTAAATCTTGTGCTTTTACATAATAATCGTGCCGCTGCAAAGCTTAAAAACGGTGATCAACGTGGATGTGCACAGGATTCTTCGTTAGCACTCATTCTAATTGATGATTTCAATTTACCACCGCCGTCAGGTGTTGACATTAACTTGAAAGAACAATATTTAAAAGCATTGTATAGACGAGCTTCTGCTTATGAAGGAATGGAAAAATACGACGACGCAAAGAACGATTATGAAAAGTTGATTATTTCATTTCCTGTGGATAATTCGAAGAACTTTAACGATGGTCTTCGAAGATGTCAAAAAGCTCTCAATATGCTATCAAAAGGAGATATCAATAAAAATTTCGAATCGACTTCTTTAAATTCACAGAATTTGTTGAGTAATAATAATAATCATGGCTTAAAAATAGAGTCTTCATTTACACAATCGCTCTCACCAAGCACTTTTGGGGCTCCTATAAATTCTTTTGGATTTGTTGACCCGAGTGCCGTCCATTCCACAACACCCTTTTCCCCGTCGTATTCCACAAATTCAGAAATTAATAATAGTCCTGCAGTCGCAAAACTTCGTAGTCAAGCTCGACAACAAGAAATTGAAGATGTAGAAAAATTAAGATTAAAAGATCAAGTTGATCAAAAAATATTTTTATGGAAGAGTGGCAAAGAAACAAATTTGCGTGCATTAATTAGTAGCTTGGATATGGTACTTTGGGATAGTCTGGGATGGCAAAAGATTGGATTGCACGAATTAGTGACGCCTTCTCAAGTAAAAGTGCGCTACATTAAGGCTATTGGGAAAGTGCATCCAGATAAAGTTTGTATTCTCTTATAATCCTTTGATTTATTTTAATTAAACTTTACTTCTAATATATGTATAATATCGTTTGAAGCTTAATTCATCGACCAAAATTGAACAACGACTTATCGCAAATGGGGTATTCTCTGCTCTCAATGAAGCTTGGGATGCTTTTAAAACTCAAAACAACTTATGATTATGATTATTATTATATTGCTTGAGCCTTATACTCAAACCACATCATTCATTAATGATAATAGTATATTTCATAAATTTCTGTATAATAATTATTTTCTGTATATTTATGCAGAAATAGAAAATTGTATTTTTAGTATAAACGAAATCAGATTTGAAAAAGGGTTAAATAGTTTTGTGTCTTTTTTTGGTGACAATTATGTAAAAGGGTTAGGTAGGTACGAATCCAGAACAATTTTGTCACTAGCTTTATTTTAATCCTTCTGGAGAATATAGCCAATCAAATGATGGTATTTTTGTGAATAATTTCAGCTTGAATCGCTGGTAAAGCAGCATTATTTATTTTCAGGTAAACAAAGACTTTTTTCTAATTAAAATGAAAACTAATCCTATGATAATAGCTGGTATGATGAAAAAATTGACCAGAAATCGTTTTTCTATTCTAATAATGCAGATGAAAATTTTCATATACTTTACAAACGAAAAATTCAAAACTCAAATATATAAATAAAATTCAATTGTAGCCATTCGGATGTTTCTGATGATAATTCCAAGCGGTAGCCACAATCTTTTTTATTGAATCATATTTACGCGTCCATCCAAGTATATTCTCTGCTCTTATCGAACCAGCGATCAAAACTGGGGGATCACCTTTTCTTCGAGGATGCACAATAGCTGGAATCGGGTGTTCGGTTACTTCTCTAGCAGCGTTAATAACCTCATTTACCGAATACCCTTCTCCGCTTCCAAGATTAAAATGTTGAGATTTATTCTCTCTTACAAGATATTCTAATGCTTTGATATGTGCAGTTGCTAGATCAGTGACATGAATATAGTCTCTGATGCATGTGCCATCTCTCGTATCATAATCATTCCCATAAATTTTTATATGTTCTCGTTTACCAAGCACAACTTGCAATACGAGTGGTATTAAATGAGTCTCGGGATCATGATCTTCTCCAATTTCTCCACTCTCGTGTGCACCACACGCGTTAAAATATCGAAGGCAAACGTATTTGATCCCATAAGCATTTTCTGACCAACCCAAAATTTTTTCCACAGTTAATTTTGTATCTCCGTATGGGTTAATCGGCTTTGTTGACGCGTCATCTGTCAGTGGGATTATTTCTGGGTTTCCAAAAATTGCGGCAGTTGAAGAAAAAATAAAATATTTAACTTTATATTTATTCATTGTTTGTAATAAATATATTGTTCCAATAACATTATTGTCGTAATAACGTAATGGGTCTACTACACTTTCCTCTACCGATATAGCAGCGCAAAAATGCATTACCGCGTCTGGTTGATGTTTAGAAAAAACTTGTTCAAGTTTTTGTTTGTCTCTGACATCAACTTTCTCAAAAGCAAGTCCAGCAGGAATAGATCCTGAATGTCCTTGAGAAAGATTGTCAAGAATAACTATTTCATAATTCGGTAGTGAAAGTAACTCGCGAATCAAATGTGAACCAATATAACCAGCGCCACCACAAACTAAAACCTTCATAGTTATTTGATACTATACATTTATGATTTCCAAAATCAAATTAAATTAAATTCAGGAAGTGCAAATATAAAATAATCGATTGATGTATCACACAAGCTTTAATATAAGTAGGCATTTACTAATTTCCCCCCGAAGTTTTGATTGGATATAAGTAATTTTCATTTGACTGCAGGTCTTCTAAATCAACCAATTTTGATCAACCCGGCAAAACAAATCCGACACAAGAAAATTATCGCGGCAGGAAAATTCATCGATCACGTGATCACTGAAAATTAACGTTAAAGAATATTTTATCGTTCGGGTTAGGGTATGGATTAGCGTGAAGGACAAGAATATATACAAAATTGTCTTTCCGACATTTTTTATTAATGTTTCAGATTTTGATATCTGTTTTCCGTATTTTTTATATTATTCACTTTATTTTCTTGTGTCGGATTTGTTTTGCCGGGTTGATAAAAAATTTGCTCATCTTAATGGTTTGCGAGTGCATTTATGTACACCCCAATCCGTTTTGGTTAGATCAAATAACAGCCAATAAGAATGCATAAATTTTTGATCAACCCGGCAA